GAATCTATAAAAATCCGGAAAAACCACCCTAAACCCTAAACCCTAAAACGCTCAGGGAGCCCTCATCAGGTCGTCGAAACCATCAGCGCCACTCAGCACGCCGACCACGAGGCCACAACCCGCGTTGCCTCTGAAATCTTAGGCCGCTGGGTGCGGGGCTTTACAGGGGTTTTCTCGACGAGGGGCTTCTCGGGATTCTGTAGGGGTTTAGGGTTTAGGGTTTCGGGTTCTGAGTCTGGCTTCGAATTTGGGTTTGGGGCTTTATCTTTTGGGCTAAGGCTTCAAGGGTTAATGCGTCGGGGCAAAGTCTTTGGGTTGCGGGGCTTTGGGTTTGAGGCTGCTGGGTTTCGCGGCTTCAAAACCTGGAATTTCGAGGTCGTGAGCTTTGGGGTTTGGGCGCAGGTTTAGGGTGTAGGGTGTCTGAGACTGGGATAAACTGAGGGTGGCACTCGCAAGGCAAGCCCTGGCTTGAGCAATTCCGGCTTCGGAGTTAATTAGCGCTTAGGGACTGATATAACAACAACAACGATTGCTAGTAGTATGACGAAAATGAGTGCTGCCATAGTGAGTTTGGCAATGTCACGATGTCACAAGCATGGAACACAACGATAGAGGTCAGACTTATGACATCAACACTTCATAATGACCTGTACTTGCGATTTCAACAAACACCCAGCGAACAACCGGCCAGACCGCAACACCTCACACAAGAGAAACGAGTTCTACAACACAGCCAGCAGCCAAGTCGCGACCCTCCTCAATGTCGCGGACAGAGTCACCCACTTTGCAGACCCGCTTCACATTCATCACCTCGCCGACGGTTAGGGTTTAGGGTTCAAGGTTTAGGCTTTAATGATCAGCGGGTTTGGCGGAGCCAAGTTTACGTTTTTGGGCACACTGGTTCAGCTCAATAGGGATTAACATGCATGTAGGTCCTTGGGCTTAGGGTGCAAAGATGGATCTCTTCGTATAGTATAGGGCCGTAGAATGATACAGGGTTATATGCCGTACCTAAGGATGCCTCCTGCCGGCCGCACCAACGCTTTGGCTTGTTCTCTCTCTCTCTCTCTCTCATACGTTATGAGCCGTAAGTTTCCGAGGGTTCAACCGAAACCTCGAGCCCTGAACCACAAGATATCTTCTTTATAGCAAGCATGTACGTAACATCACCATCCAGCAGCCTGCCTCCACACTCACTCCTTTAGAAGAAGAAAGACGTAAACCAGGCAAACCTCCGTTAAACCGCATCGAAGAAAAAACTTGGCGCAGGCCTGCGTCCGCTCCATGAGATGGTGGATCATGTAGGGGTAGGGCCGGCCTTCAGTGACCTGCCAAGTAAATATTTCATATCGCAGCTAAAGTTCAGGAAATTAAAGGTTTTGTGTAGAGTGTAGGGGATTTGGGGAGTTGACGTCTGGGGATCTGTCGTTTAGATTATGCGCGAGGCGTGTGCAGACGTAGAAGTTCCGCGGCTCCTGCTGGGGTAAAATCGCTGTCTTTCCACACTCTGCGCTGCTGCGGCCCGCCCTATACTGGTGGCCTGCTTAGTCGAAGACCCCGAATCCCGACGCTCGAACTCTGCAAGGATGACAACCTAACCTTCCTGAGACCCCTCGAAAGCCTGTACCTACAAGAGCATCTTCCTTCAGCCTCAAACCCTGTCAAGTCTAAACCCTATATTCTCAACTCAGATTCTAAAACCCAGCCGTTATAGACACACCCCTTCTGTCATTAGCAACTCTTACAGAACCATACCCTAAGCCCTAAACCCTCAACCCAAAACCCTAAGCCCTAAACCCTAAACCTTAAACCCTAAACCCTAAACCATACAGAACATTACGGTACCCTTATCGCAGCCCCGGGAGTAGCCTCAGAGGAAACCTCGCAGCCCAAGCCCTAAACCCTAAAGGTTTAGGGTTTAGGGTTTAGGGTTTAAGGCTTACGGTTTAGGGTTTAGGTTTTAAGGCTTAGGGTTTAGGGTTTAAGGTTTACGGTTTAGGGTTTAAGAGTTTAGGGTGTAGGGTTTAAGGCTTACGGTTTAGGGTTAAGGTTTACGGTGTAGGGTTTAGGGTTTAGGGTTTAAGGCTTACGTTTTAGGGTTTAGGGTTTAAGGTTTAGGGTTTAGGGTTTAAGGTTTACGGTTTAGGGTTTATGGTTTACGGTTAAGGGTTTAGGGTTTATGATTTAGGCGGCCTGATAGGAGGAGATGTAAGCATCCGCAATCTTGTCAAAGCCGAGCCGTTTGATTAGCCCTTTCCTTGCTTCGTGGCTTCGTCTACTCGGTGGTCAGGCTTTCTTCGGTTTACGGCTAGGGTTTAGGGTTAAGGGTTAAGGGTTAAGGGTTTAGGGTTTAGGGTTTAGGGTTCGGGATCTAAGGCTAAATGACCGTTGGTGCATCATGCTTTGTTGATATCGTTTGCATGATGAACATAGGCAGCTCTCTAGAGTGGCGTCTTGTTTCGGGTCTCCAAGAGTACTTCACTCGTACTACTACAGTGTGCCGGGAATTGAGAGCCACTAATGGGTGCAACCTGACCTGGTCTCTTGCCCTGCTTGCCCCACTTGGGGAGGGCATGCAACCTGACCAGTCATCTTGATCATTTAACCTAAAACGATAAACTAGTGGGGGCAAGCGGGGCAAGTAGGGCCAGATGGCCCTTGCCAGATGTCCCGGTCATCTTGACCCGCCCCCAAGACGACCAAGGTGACCAAAATGGCCGAGCAAGATGACCAAGCTGACAAGATTGCAAGTTAACCGAGATGGCCGGTAACATTTGTGGCTCCCTAGACCCTAAACCCTAAACCCTAACAGTTCCCTGCACAATGTACTACAGTGGTAGCAGGCGTGGACATGGAACCACCGCCCCTGAATCCTAAATCCCTGAATCCTGAATCATGATCCTTGAACCACGGCCCCTAAGAAGGATCCGGGCGCTGTCCGTGTTGACTAAAGAGCCCGAAACCCCCTCATTGCAGAATACGTCTTGAGTTCTGCTGGCTTGTTTCTTGATCGAAGGACTATTGCTTAATTGAGGCTGTTGAGCCCTCTGGGTGAGTCGGCACAGGATGGCAACGGCCTATCCGCTTCAACTAACACATGCTGAACAATTTAGTACAGACATTCCCGATGATGACGACGACATAACGATAACAGTACATAGTATCTCATCTGAGACCTACCAAGCCTTGCTGGACCTGCCAGCTAAAACCCAAAACCCTAAACGTCAAACCCCAAACCCCGAACCTTGAACCCTAAAGCCCTAAACCCTGTAATGTTGGTGCCCTGACGAGTGTCCTTTAAGGGCCCCGTAAGGGCTTCATACAGGGTTTAGGGTCGTTGGGTCTATAGGAACTTTCTGCCTGCAATCGCGCCAAAGCTTTCTGACAGAGTCATGAAACTTCAGACAGGAGCTGCAAAGCCCGGCACTAGCTCCCAAAACCCTTGCAATGGAGGCCTCCGTAAGGAGGCCAAGAACGAAGCGAGAAGCGCACTAAACCCTAAACCCTAAACCCTAAGCCCTACGCCCTAAACCCCAAAACCCTACGCCCTAAACCCCAAAACACTCTAAACACTCGACTGTTGTGACTCAGCGGATTGACGGGTTGGGATTTCGGATTGGGCGCTGCAGATTGGTGAGAGGGCCTGTGCCAAGAGCTAGTCACGCTTAGGGCTGAAGGGTTTAAGGGTTTAGAGTTTTGGGTTTAGGGTTTAGGGTTTAGAGTTTAGGGTTTAGAGTTTAGGGTTTATTTCGGTCTCAAACTCGAAGCTTTCAAAACAGCTCCATGTGCAAGAACTTGTTCAACAATCCGCCAGATCTTGAATAAACAGTTTTTGCCAAGAGACTGAATGTTCTCGGGATACCCGGTATCCTGAAAGCAATGAAGGCGTCTCCTACTTCCGGTCTCGGTGCTTCTCTCTTAGAACTACATGTAACCCGACGACGTGAAAACCAGCCGCAAGATCATCAGCCCCCACTCAAGTCCCCAATCACATGTGAGAACTCGGCATGAAGGCCAGCATCATGAGCACCAGCCGCCCTTCCTAGCCCAGTACCTCTCCGCCCCTCGTGTGCCCATTGCATGTGACTACCCGCCCTGAAGATCAGTATCATGAGCATCTGCCACCCTAGTATACCCAGTACGGCTGAAGGCCAGCATCATGAGCATCAGCCGCCCATTATGTTTTGACTACCCGGTCTGAAAACCAGCATCATCAGCATCAGCCGCCCCTAGTATGCGTATTACTTTTGACCGCGTGGCCAAAATAGCCAACATCAAGAGCATCAGCCGTCCCTCGTTGACTGTTACGTGTGACTACCCGCCCTACAAGGCCAGCATCATGAGCATCAGACGCCCCTCGTATGCGTATTACTTTTGACCACGTGGCCAAAACGGCCAACATCAAGAGCAGAAGCCGTCCCTCTTTGACTCTACCCGCCCTACAAGGCCAGCATCATGAGCATCAGACGCCCCTCGCATGCCCAGTACGTTTGACTATCCGCCCTGACGGCCAGCATCATGAGCATCAGCCGCCCTCGTATGCCCATTACTGGCTTGCCCATTACGCTGACCCTGCCATGAAGCCCAGCATCATAAGCATCAGCCGCCCCTCTTAGCCCCTTTACGAGCGACTACTCACTACTCGCCCTGAAAACCAGCATCATGACCATCAGCCACTCCCATTACGTTTGACCACACAGCCTCAAGGCCCGCATCATCAGCATCAGCCGGCCCCTCGTATGCGCAGTACGAATGACTTCCCGGCCCGAAAGTCAGCATCATGAGCATCAGCCGCCCCTCGTACGCCCATTACGTCTGACTACCCGTCCTGAAGGCCAGCATCATGAGCGTCCGCCGCCCCTCCCATGCACGCTGCGGTTTTGACTGCCCAGCCGGAAGGCCAGCATCATTAGCAACAGCAGCCCCTTATCTGCCCATTTCGTTTGACTACACGGCCTGAAGGCCAGCATCATCAGCATCGGCCGCCCCTCGTGTGCCGATTAGGTGTTGACTCGTGCATCAAAGGCCAAAGCTCCCTGCGCTTGGCATCTGACGGGTGGGTCCCAAGTCTTCGAAAATTCTGAGCACCGCACAAAGGCGATCTTGATGCCCGCATCCTTTAGCTGCCTGAAACTGATGGATTGACATCTAGAGTTTAGGATTCAACTCCAAATCCTAAAGCCGTTTAGGGATCAAGGTTTGGGCGAGTTCAGGGTTTTTTGGAGTTCTACTTTTTTTGGTAGGAGTTCAGGGTTTGGGATTTCTGCAACAACAATGGGAATTCATGGGATGGTGAAAGTTGCGGCTGTTGGCGGGGCTGTGCTGTGAGGACTCACGGGCATGGATAAGCGGAAATCCAGGGGAGATAAGAACTCAATTCCGACCACCCAAAACTTATCTACCTATAGTCTCCATTGTAGTTCCCTTTTTTTGGTTTAACCAATTATTTAGGACCCTATAAGGTACCCCCAAAAAAGGAGGAGACTATAGGTAGAATCTAGAAGAAAAAACATATCCTAAGGGTCCATGTACCCACATAGATGTACTTTGGCCTTATAAAGTAACCCCTATATAAGTACTTTGGGGCCAATGTATTACTACTTGGGTACATGGACCCTCAGGGATATCTAGAATCTAGAAAACAAGCGTGGCCTGAAGTAGCCCAGTAGGCCGATGTCTATGTGGTCGATGGCCTCGGGCCAGTAGATCCCAACAACAGTCTCGGGGGGACTGGGACGGTTCTGCATAAATACATATATAAAATATATGTGTGTATGTGTATATATATATATATATTTGTGTATGTACATATGTATATGTACATATCTTTATTATCTTATATATGCATATGTATATATAAAAATATGCGCACGCATCTATGCGCGTCGAAAGAGCATGCGTGGCATTAACGGTAGGTGGCGAGTTCAGGAAGCCTGCTACTTCCATGCATTTACGGGCTTAGATCAGTTTCAATGGCTGCGGACAGATTTGGTGGGTGCGATCCCCAACTGTTCTGAAACGCAAAGCGATTCGTCATCTCGTCATCGCCAGCTTGTGTCAACAACGAAATTGCAGTCCCAAACTCTGAACAGACACCACAGTAGGGCCGCTGCCGACGCCTCATTGAAGTAAGCATCATCGATGGCATTGACAAACCTGATACTGGAATGCGGGGATGCCAGGAAACAGAGCGGGCTGGGTGCGCTCGGAGGTTCATGGGTAAAAAAAGTGTGATAACGATAGTAACTATAGACTATAGTTCTCCTACTTATTATAACCCGACTTACGACCGCCCATGAACCCCCAAGTCGGAGGACCATGGCCCCAAATTCTTAGATGCAAGCCCGACACACAAAAACCCGTAATTGCAGCTTACATCTTTCACCCTCAACGCTAAGCCTCCCTGCACCCGAAGCCGTGTCAATATGTCACTATAGACCCTAGGGACACCCTGAACCCGAAGTTAAACTTAATTTCACCCGAGGCCCTACTCCCTGTCTCAAGCTACACCCAAACTCTAGACTCAAAGACTTTCGCTTCCTAGGCGCCACTCGCCGACCCGTGTCACGCGCTCCGTGATGTCCTCGGGTGGCGTGCCTGCCTCGGGTGAGGCGTCACCAACGTCCCTCTGCAATTATGAGTTGTGCCAACCTTTCTGCATGGATGCCTTAGGGATGCGTTAGCCTGCAGAGTAACAGTGCTCGCACCGCACCTGGACAATAAACCCTAAAGCCTACACCCTAAACCCGAAATCCCTGAACCCTCAACCCTGAAACCCTTAAACCCTGAACCCTAAACCCTGAAACCCTTAAGCCCTGAACCCTAAACCCTGAAACCCTTAAACCCTGAAACCCTTAAGCCCTGAACCCTAAACCCTGAAACCCTTAAACCCTGAACCCTAAACCCTGAAACCCTAAGCCCTGAAACCCTTAAACCCTGAGCCCTAAACCCTGAAACCCTTAAGCCCTGAACCCTCAACCCTGAAACCCTTCAACCCTGAACCCTCAACCCTGAAACCCTTAAACCCTGAACCCTAAACCCTGAACCCTAAACCCTGAAACCCTTAAACCCTGAACCCCAAACCCATGTCTTGCCTGTCGCAGCAAGGCCCGCCTTCAAATTCTGAGATGCAGAGAACCCCAAGATGCTGTGGTCCCACCAATTTCCCTCGCTTAAACCCGAAGCCTGAAGCCTTACATCCTGAACCCTTAAGGCGTAAAACTTAGACCCTAAAGCCATGAACCTTTAACCCTAAAGGCCCGAGGCTCTCAAGACATGGACACTAGAACTGAATGTGACCGGCATCTGCATGTCAGCCCCACCTGAACTGAAGTGTTGAAGCCGACAAATCCCCATGAGAACCCTTTGGAGAAAAATCCTATCAATCCTTAGATGCTGGCTCCGGAGTATGGAGAGAGGAATCGGAGGAGCGCAGCGCCTTCAGCGCAAAGTGCTCGATCACGGCCTCTTTCTTCGCCTCACGAGCTGGCTTTGCGGTTTGGGTTTCTACGGCCACGAAGGCTACGAAGACTATCTAAAGAAAATAGAACTACGCCGACGTCGACGACTACTACTCCTACGACAGTACTACTACTAGTACTACTAGTACTACTAGTACTACTAGTACTACTAGTACTACTAGTACTACTAGTACTACTACTACTACTACTACTACTACTACTACTCCTACTACTACGACACCGCACCAGCACTTGCGACTACTACTACTACCACCACCACAACTAGTACCGAATGTTACGAGCACAGCAAATAAATTCACCAGTCATCACCTTTGACACCAGCCTTGTTCTTGCGGTCTTCGTTCCTAGGATTGCCGACATCGCACAAAGCCCAAGAATCTTCGCTTATGCCCGCTTCCCCAGCTACTACCCCGAAAGAGTTGCAGAATGGGAAATGGGGCCTCATGCCCCTAAACCCTCAACCCTCAAGCCCCTAAACCCCAAACCCTACACCCCAAAGCCAAAATGCTACACCCTAAACCCTCAAAGACCCAAACCCCTAAACCCCAAACCCTAAACCCTATAAACCCTAAACCCTAAACCCTACTTGCGGGGGCAAGCCCGGCCCAAACGTGAAACCTCAAGCGAAGCTGGCTCTCGCTCGGAGGCCGCCTGTGCCTTCTCTATCGCCGCTATTGCTATAGATAGCTTGTGGGGTTTAGGGTTTAGGGGTTTAGGGTTCAGGAGTTTTGGGTTTAGGGGTCTAAGGTTTAGGGGTTTTGGGGGGGTAGGGTGTAAATAAGGTTTAGGGTTTGGGGGTTTTGGGGTTTGGGGTTCAAGGCTTGGGCTATGGTTTAGGGCTTAGGGTCTAAATTCGGGATTCAGGGTTAGATGGTGGTTTAGCATAGCCAAAGCATTACCCTAATTATTAATGCCGCTATCTATACTAGCCTGACTTACGGCTCGACTTAAACTTTGGACGAGCTGCGCCGTGCCAGGGATGCCTGAGTGAGGAGTCTGACACTCACAGGTGCGTTCTTGCCGATATTCGAGACTCTTACGTTTTGCCTCTGAGTTGCAGGAGGTGGTTTGCTGGCCACGGGTAAAAATCCACATGCAATAGAAGAAACAAAAAACAGCAGCAGCAGCATTTGATAATTCTGGAAATGCCGAAGGCGCTTGATAGGAGCAAAACACGACATGGTGACAGCGGTAGTAGAACTAGAAGTAGCAGGGTACAGTGCATCCGAAACAGACTTACGAGAGTTTGAAAAGTCAAACCCCAAGGGCATGGAGTGGGAACAAAAACGCAGCATCTTCCAAAATGGGCCCGATTGGGCCCGTGTCGGCCAGAAAGGTCGCGAATGCTTGCACCCCAATTTCCGAAACCCTAAACGCCCTTTGAGATACCTAGTAGTTACGAAGCATCCGAGACAGCCTTGGCAAAGCTTCATGCAGGAGCATTAAGAAGGCCTTGCTGCTTCTCCCCCAAGATGACAGGATTCACGCTACGCTGCCTTAACCCTTAACCCAAACCTTGCAACACAAACCCAAAACCAGATGAACCCCTAAACCCGAAACCTTACCAACACTATCCTAAAGCCCCAACCCCTAAACCCCAACCCCCATAAACCTTATAAACCCTAAACCTCAAACCCTAAACCCTAAACACTAAACCTAAACCCTAAAACCCTAAAACCCTAAACCTAAATTCAAGAGTTTCCGAATCCATCTTGTTTCGACCTCAAGTTTTCAAGGTCCAAAAGGTTCCTTAAAGGGTTCTATAAGGGCTACTGTGAGGGTTTAGGGTGTAGGGGGCCTCAGTAATTAGAATAGGGTTTGGGGGTATATTATGCTGCAAATATATAGCGCCTCCAAAAGTAGTATGGGTATTTATTAAGGCCCCTATATTATACAACAGCCCCTAAGCCCTCATTGCAGAACCCGGTTAGACCCCTTTAGTATGGGTACTTATTAAGCCCCCTAAAATGAAATCCCTTTTAAGGAACCCTACACCCTAAACCCTAAATCCAAAGCCCTATTGTAAAACCTCTTAAAGGAACCCGGCAAGGAAGCATCTATCTCGGCCGAGCCACATGTCCTCGTCCGACACTTGGAGTCCATCCTCTCCTTGGGCTTTTCGGATTTCCGGGCGGCTCCCTAGAAGTTTGGGGTTTAGGAACCGTCGTTTAGGGTTCAGCGTTTAGGGTTTAATTAGGGGTTTAGGGGGTTTAGTAGGTTAAGGGTTTAGGGTCACTCTGCCAAGCTACGCATCGCCAACTGCAGCGTCTTGTAGACGATGCCGCCTTCCTGCACAAGACATGACGGCCTTAACACGCAACGTGGAAGAGATGTGGGGTGCCTCGAGCTCTTTATGACCCCGGAATGCCGAGTCGGGCTGGGCCGGAGGAGCTCAAGTTAGGGTTTCCGGTTTAAGGTCGTAAAACCCACAACTCCCATCTGGATCAACGCGCTCTTGCAAATGCTGACACGGTCACGACGCAGCGGCCTGCACGGTCGTGCCCGCCATGTCGTACACAACGAGGTCTATTTCGTTGAGCAAAGTTCGAGTGGCCTCGTGGGCTCAGCCAATGAGCGCGGGGTTCTGAGAACCTACCTACGCAATCACTGTGAATCTGCAAGATCTACAATGACAAATGCATGTTTGAGGAGACTCGACGCCGTCTGGCGCCAACATGAAAATGTCACCCAGCGCACGGCCCCGTTCCGGCGCCGTCACCCAATTTTAGTAGTTGACTTGAGAG